GATAATTAAAAAAAGAATTAGTCTCAGAAACTCACAAGGGCATCTACCCTGCTTTATAGAGTTTCACCTTCTAGTCTATGCACCTCAAGGCAGTGTTTCCATATCTCTCACTCAGTGGTTCTCAACCTTCCTGACGCCGCGACCCTTTAATACAGTTCCTCATGTTGTGGTGAGGCCCCCAAATTATTTCGTTGGTATTTCATAACTGTAAGTTTCCTACTATTATAAATCTAGCGACCTCTACAAAGGGGTTATTTGATTCCCAAAGGGGTCGCGACCCACAGGTTGAGAACCCTGCTCTAAATCTTCCCTGAGGAAGGCTGTGTGCTTTGATTTGTACCAGGTGAAAAACGGCCATGGTGGCAACCCTGAGAGATGCAAATGGTGCTCCTATGAAATATGTTTTGAGTTTGGGGAACAAAAATATGCCTGAATGAGTATGATCAGGCTGATCGGGTGCGTGGGGTAAGATTTCCCAGTGAAATTCCTGTAGGGAAGCTCTTGCTCCCCTCCGTGGGCGATCGGGAACACAGGAGTTATACAAAAACAGTCCATGGCAAGTTTTCCTGGCCTTTTCTCCACCAAGGCAGTTTTCAATTTTCTTTTATTTATTCATTTATTCATTTATTTATTTATTTTTAGTTTTCAATTTTCTTAAAACTTCTTCCCGATATGCCTGCATCAAGATAACCCTTGGGGATCCCCAAGACAGTCCTCATGACCTTCTGAGCTGACTTTCCTACCTTGCATTGAAGGGACCAAATGGGTTCCTTCAGAATCCATGGTTTGGATTGGCTTCTTTTTGGAAGGCAGCCATAGAATTCTAAGTGTCTGACTGATATAACCGGTACACAGCTATCCATTGATTGTAGAGATAGGCTTACACACATTGTGCTTGGACTAAATCTGTGGCTGCATGGACCTAATACCAATGCTTTCTTACTTAACTTTGATGTTTTAGTGTTTTTTCAGAACTAGGCATTGTGATTGGGCTTGTATTAGTCTCCTCAGAGCTATTTTAAATGCATGTAGCAATCTTTTTAGAAAAGAATAGAATAATAATGTTCTTCTGATCCACCTGAATCTCATTCTTCATTTCAGACTGTCTGTTGATATGTCCCCCATTAATGTTTGGGGAAATAGAGGGAGGAACTACCTTATCACTGCTCCTGATCAGGTTCTGTTACTGTTGAAAGAAAGTTTTCAGTAATATTCTTGATATGCCATCAGTCTGGATTTTTTTATTTTTCAAAAGTTAAGCTGGCAGTCCATTTTTATCCCAGTAATTTAAAAAAATCTCTTTAGCTTGTGAAGCTGGAACAATGGGCTTGAATTTTCCACACTCTTCCAGTTGGCCCACACCCCGCCCCTCCCCAATTAATTCCAAAATATCACAAAGATTATGCTGAAAGGAGATTTAAAAATTTGTTTTTCTGGTCATGTTTTCCTATAGGCGTCATTTCTAGCATTCTCTCTCTACCCTCCTACCCTCTTTACAAAGCATCTCCTTGCCCCTGGGTTCTCCCAGGGCACCAAGAGATGACTTCCTGGCTGCACTGTGATGCCGAGTCTTCCTGAGTTTTCCTGTTTAGGGAACTTTAGTGAGAAGAGAATTTTGCATCAGGTGCTGGGAGGAGGAAGAGCAAAATAATTGACTACTGCTCTATAACTTCTGCATCTCAAAAGAGGTGGTTCAAAGATGGTAACAATACATACTACTGTCTCTTTAATCCAGTAGTGCTTTTCATTGTAATCAAAAAGCTTCTTTCAGATCTAAAGATAGCTTAAAGAACAGCAGGTTAGATAAAGGACAGGAAGAAATCAATCCCTAGAAGAAAATATAGCCAATAGACCAGAGGAGGTACACTGGTACAGATAGGAACTGATAATACAGGGAATCCAGGGCGGATGAGCCCTACAGGACCAGTGGTGTGAGTGGCAAAACAGGGAGGGTAAAGGGAGAATGGGTAGGAAAGA